AGAGCAGGATGTGGAGCTTGAACCCACGAACCGTGAGATCATGACCTGAGCTGAAGTCAGACACTTAACCAACTGAGCCACCCAGGTGCCCCTATTTATTTTTGAGAGAGAGAGAGAGAGAGAGAGAGAGAGAAGGGAAGGGGCAGAAAGAAAGAGGAGGAGAGAGAGAATCACAAGTAGGCTCCACACTGTCAGTGCAGAGCCCAAGGCTGGGCTCAAACTCACAAATCTTGAGATCATGACCTCAGGCAAAATCAAGAGTTACACGCTCAACCAACTGAGCCATCCAGGCACCCTATGTAACTGAGATTCTTAAGGACAGAAACTAATTTTGTTATGCTACCTTACCCAAAGTCTAGAAAGACAGTAATTACTCAAGCAATGTTTGTTAAATGGATGATGGGTGGAAACAGATTTGCAGAGAACAAAAATGTACTAATCATTACATTATTTTTTTTCTCTATCTAGAATCCAGAGTTCTACCTAAATCCAGTGGTACTAAGGCTACTACCTACCATCACCCCCACATACCAGGAGCCTGAAGAAGGTCATGTTTTTTCCTCTCTTCCTATTCATCTGGCTATCTATCCATCCCACAAATTACCAACAGTAATACATAAAGAATCCCCACCCTACAAGGGGCTTATATTCAACTAAGGAGAGACAATTAACAGGTAAACAAATACAAATAAATCATATCAGGTATTCATCCATGTGATGAATAAAATAGTTTGATAGGATAGAATATGGCTAGGAGAGAAATATGCCATTTTAAATGGAGGCTAGGGAGAAATCACTGAAGGTTTCTCTGAGAAGGTAACAGAAGTTGAAGCCTAAAGGATAAGAAGCAACCACCTAAGCAAAATTTGGAGGCAGAATTCTGTAGTAGAAGGAACTCTAAGTGAAAAGCTCTGAAGCAGAAATGCATTTGGCTGCTTGAGGGGCCAGAGACAGTATGGCTAGAGAAAGAAATGAATTTGGAGAAGAAAGCATGGCCTTGTAGGTGGAAGCCTTGGTGAAGGCCCATCTGCACCTGCCTTGAATTTGGAATTTCCTAGTTTACATCTCCTGTTGGTCACACAACCTCCTACTTACTAATGTCACAGCAAAAGCGCAATGGAAGGGAGTATATAGCATACCCATCCTGTTAGGAAGATGTCAAACGATTCTGGAAGTACCTTTTCTCATTTCTATTGATTAAAATATTCCTAGATACAATGTCCTGACAATATGGCCCCAGAGCTAATGAAAACCTGGTAAGCACATAAGACTAAAATCACTTCAAAAGAAAGAAAAGCCTTTCCACTGACTACAAGGCAAGCCAAAATGAGAACTACCAAAATTATCCTAAATTCATGGGAGGAAATAAAACAGAACACTCTACTACTCCGAAATACACATGGGCTACAATTTATCCTTTTAATTCAGTAAGTGTTTCTAATCCCATGTAAACTTAAAGATCGTATAATACAAATCCAGACTTAAGTAATTAGACAGATTTCTAGTTTTCATTGACTACAGTTTTTCTTCACCTTTAGAGAAATAAAACAATTTTGTGACCTTTTGAGAATGCAAGAATTTATATGCATCATAAACTGCCTCTCAGCAGTAATTCCGTGGATGTTCATGTCACAATCTATTTAATTCCAACTTACTACTGTGATGTTAGAGCAAAGTCAATCCATTACATAAATGAATATTCAAGAAACTAGGTTCTAAAACAACTCAGTAGTTGCTAGGAATTCAAACAGTGTGAAATTACACATCTTACTCCTATTCTCAGCAGCATCTGCTGGCTTTGCTAACCCGACCATCACTAAATATAAAGAGCCTTCCATTACACTAGTCAGGTCTTAAAATTCCAGGCTGCTGGCCTTCCACTGGTAAAAATAAATTCACTGTCAGCATCCTTAAATTCAATTCTGCACCCAGTGATCTGTGGCTAGTGTACTGACTCTTTCCTGAATCTATGGGGGATTAGACACAAGATTATTTTTCCTTCTTCTTTTGCAGATTAGTATTAGAGTTAGCAAACAATAATTATCTTATGCTCCCACACTTCTGTTCCCCCAAGGGCTACAGTCCCTTACAACAGGTCTTCATATTAATCCATACCCAAAACGGCTATGGAGAAAAAGCAAATACTTTAGCCTAAAAGGCGACCTCTTCACATTCTCCACACTGATGTCCAACTTCATGTATTTATATCTTTCATTTTCTCTTCCTAATTCCCTCAGGGAGAGCCATAGAAAAGTTTCTATGTACCTACTGTATCTTCTTCTCAATTTCTGCTTTATTCTGTTGTTTTTCATTATCTCACGCACATATTCACACTTGAAATTTAAAAATCCATTTCCTGGGTTGGGAAATAAAATTGCATAATTTCTCCCTGGAGTTCTAGCTCAATCCTGATGTCAGGATTTCCAGGAAGAAATGCAAACATAGCATCAGTTGGAAAGCCTCTCTCAACAGGATGTATGTCCTTACAGACTGAGTCTGCATGTTACTAAGAATCTACTCTACTCTTCCCTTATCAGTCTGAATTGAAGCAAGGCCTTACTCCCTTCTCAGAGTGTGGCCCAAGGACCAACAATATCTAGGTGACCTGGAAATTTGTTAAACAGAATTTAGGGCTCTACCTCTCAGAACAGCTAAATCATAATTTTTATTTTTACTGATATCTGTACGCAGATCTCCCTACATCATAAAATCTCAGAACTGGTGGTAAATTTAAGAACCTATCACACACAAACAGAGAGGAACCCTGGATACAACTCTAACTGATAATGACCAGTCCCCTTCACAAATTCTTTATTGCTTATATGAACAGGTCCTCCTTAGGAGAATTTCTCATGAAATCATAAACTTCTTGTCTTGAAACACACAAAAGCTAATTATAGCTGTTGGTGGTTGTGGAAGCGGCCGATATAAACAAGTTCTTACCTAATCTGAGCTCTCCGAAGTTCCCACACCCTATCTTCTTGCCAACCCTGAAGTTGGGTCCCACCATAAGAACCCCAGAGGATGTTGAGGAGCCAGACGGTCGGGTACAGTGTGCACTCCTTTGTGCCATGGGTTTAGTTGTCCGTTGTCTTTCATCCTTCTCTCTACTAGGATGGTCCATGATCCTACACGACAGAGTCTCTGCACAAGTAGCCTCAGTCTGTGTACCTCTCTTCAATACAAAAGTATGTCCAAATAAACTGTAGTCAGAGAAAGGTAAGGAAATCTTTTGGCACCATATTTATGTTTCTAATGTATTTCCAGGAGATGAACAACTGATTCGTTCTCGTAGGACACGTAGTCTGTGGATCGCAAGCATAGGAGGGTATTTTGTAACCTGGGTAAAAATCAAGAAAATATACAGTTATAAGTTAAATTTTAAAACAAATCCAGAAAGTTACCACTAATTAGAATGGATCCTATCCAAAAATGAACAAAGTGGATAGCTTCCTGAAATGGGTCTTGATTTTATATCCTCCAACAGTTTAGCCATCTGGACTAGTTATTTATCTGATAACATAAGCTCAGTAGGCTGCAGACCATGGCAGCTAAGGGAACACACAAGTCGTTAATAGAAAAGGCTGTCTTCTAGTACTGTACATATGACCCAAAAGGAAGCTGTTTGCTCCGTTTTTCATCACTGGGTAACAGAAAGATAGATTAAGCCTAGTTAAATAAACTGAAGACAATTAAAAGCTCTTCCTTTAACTTTGGACAGAACCTGTCAGAAATGAAGCTACTTACTGTCCCCCTCCTCCATCTCCACCATTTATCAAGCACTGAGGGCAACAAAATAACCCAAAACAAGTTATTGATTGACACAGACTACTTGTGTAAAAGACTTTCCAAAACCCTGGTGGTACTAAGCAGTTCTAGACTAAAGCTTTGTAAAACTCAACTCTTGGTTTACTTTTCACTGCAGACTGAGTATACAGTGACAGAGTCATGAAGCACAACTCCAAAATAAAAATAAAGCTGAGAAACAAAAAAATCTTAAGTAGAATCAATCCCTATCAGAATTCTCCTTTGTTACAATTCAAGACTAAGCCCAAGACAAAAGTTTAAAATGAGATAATTCTGATGCTATTTTTCATAAAACAGGTAATCTTTAACAACAACAACAAAATTCTGTTATCACCAATCACATACAAAACACATGCTTATGTTTTACTTTCATTAAATATTTTCCTTGAAATTTTAAGGAAAAAGAGAATTAGGACAACTGCTTGGTTGTTACTGCATATATACAATAAAGCAAAATGTCTATACTGCAAGCTTCTCATGGACATCTTTAATTTCTGAGTACAGGCACAGGGACAAACCTGTGAGCTGACGGTACAAATGCGCATATTATCCAAGATAAAATCTATTTACTTCAAACAATTAAAATAAACTGTTTATGTTCATCTTTTTTGTCTGTTTTCCTTGTATTACTAAAAGTGTATTATGACTTTAGGCTTTAACAAAGCTAATCATCAATAAGATACATTTCTCTGAATTCGGAAAACAATACATCCACATTCATAATGTATATTCTGTTTAAGACAAAATCAGGATAATGAGAAGGTCAGCAATTACTGGGTTTCTTACTTGAACAACATTTTGAGTTTATATTTCTCTCATTTTTCTCTTTTTTGCAACTGTATCCAATATCTTCCAATTATCTTTGTTGTTTACCAAAAGTCCCTCCAACAATATTAGTAAGAGAAGGGAAATAAAACTTAAGATGTTTTAGATAGCCCTATCTTAACTGGTGCGAGCATGTGTCTATGTATGAGAAACTGTCAAGCTATTCTTTCTTCCCTTATGTTATAAATTTCTTTGAAGGCAGGAAAAAGATGTGTCTTAGCCTATCCAGGCAATTTTGAGCATTCGACTAACTCCCACATTTTTATAAATTATTACTACTATAATAGCTTCATTTATAAGATTTGGAAAACTGTACTACCACCTTGTCTACTGCTCTTATTTTTCATATGTGTTCACTCTAACAGATGGAGGTTATTTTTATAATGCTTGTCATTAACTTTCTCCATTGCACTTAAACTCATGAAACATTAGGTGGAGTAATCACATATAGCCCTCAGTAACCATATATACTTGCATGTATGTATTAGAAAAACATACAGCACTTCCCAGGTTAGAAACGTGCACAAAGTAAAGATTCGTGTTCAGCTGGGAAAAGGATGTTTTTAACACCTGCCTGTACCCCAGAACAATCACTTTACCTCCCACAAACATGGAAAAAAACTTACATTTAAGATATCAATTTTCTAATCTATCATGGAACATGAGCATGGTCTAATCTATAATTATGAAAGATGAATAATATTTAATACTACTGTTATATGGCATCTCTCATTTAAGAAATCAAACTAACTGAACAATTAAATTTTTAAAAATCCTGTTTATTTATCACTACCCACTGTTCAAAACTATATTCTACTTCCCAAATACAAACTCTTTAGCTTGTCATTTTTTAATCAGGTTATTGGTTGTTTGGTGTTGATTTGTGTGAGTTCCTATGTATTTTGGATATTAATCCTTACCAGATATATCACTTGTAAATATCTTCTCTCTAATCCCTTAAATATAAACTCCTTAATTAAATTCTTGTATTAAAAGGTTATTACAGGGCCACTTAGATGGCTCTGTCAGTTAAACACCCAACTCTTCAACTCTTGATCTCATTTTAGGTCTTGATCTCAGGATTGTGAGTTCAAGCCCTGCTTTGGGCTCTGCACTGGGAGTGGAGGCTTCTTAAAAGAAACAAATGTTTTTTTAATTAGAAAAAAAAAAGTTACTGCATAAACACAAGGTGTATCCATTGTTGGCCCTTACACTAGAATGGCTTCATAACTCTTCTTATTTTAGGCCTGACTCACATCCTATGCCCACTGCGAAATCTTTCATAACCAATTCATCATTAACACTTGGAGCACCCCTGTGTATACAGTGTATATATTTGCCACTCAGTATGCAACAGATTATATTGATATACTCTAGTATTCAATTTGATTATAAGCCTTTGAAATTAGGGCTCTTGTCCTATCTTCTTTAGTTTCTTATATGTAATTGGTACTTAATAAATACTAACAATTATGATGGTCTTGCTCAACAAAAAACAGATTTTCAACAATATAACCAAATATTTACACAAAATAATACATGTAAATAGAATCCTGATTAGCCATACGTTTAGAATTCACCTAGAAAAGAAGCTAGTATTCTTTCATTTCAATCCATTAGTGTTAAGACAGGCTAGTTAGGATTTCCATTTCACAAAGATATTATTAAATCATTTATTTTTAGTTACTATCAGATAACATATGAAAAAGAGCTCAAGAACCAGGTCAAACAGAACATCCAAGGTAAACATTAAATTATACTTTAACCAGGGTGCCTGGGTGGCTCAGTTGGTTAAGCATCCAACTTTGGCACAGGTCATAATCTCACAGTTTGCATGTTCAAGCCCCACATCAGGCTCTCTGCTGTCAGCGCCGAGCCTGCTTTGGATATCCTGTCTCCCTCTTTCTGACCTTCCCTCTCTCTTTTTCAAAAATAAGTAAACATGAAAATAAAAATTATACCTTAAGTTTGTTTTTATTTAAAAATTTTTTTCATGCTTATTTATTTTGAGAGAGAGAGCAAGTGCAAGTTGGGGAGGGCCAGAGAGAGAGAGGGAGAGAGAGAATCTGAAGCAGGCTCCATGCTGTCAGCATAGAGCCCAATGTGGGGCTTGATCCCACGAACCGCAAGATCATGACTTGAGGTGAAATCAATAATCAGATTCCCAACTAACTGAGCCACCCAGGCGCCCCATACCTTAACCTTATTTTTAAAAAATGACTTCCAGGGGCACCTGGGTGGCTCAGTCGGTGGAGCATCTGACTTTGGCTCAGGTCATGACCTCACGGTTTGTGAGTTCGAGTCCCGCATCGGGCTCTGTGCTGGCAGCTCGGAGCCTGGAGCCTGCTTCGGATTCTGTGTCTCCCTCTCTCTCTGCCCCTCCCCCACTCACACTCTGTCTCTCTCTGTCTCTCAAAAATAAATAAATGTTAAAAAAAAATTTTTTTTTAAATAAAAATAAAAAATGACTTCCAAAGATAGCAGTAAAAGACAAACTGTATGATTTGTCCTCTTTTTTTTTTTTTTAACAGTATAAAAAGCGGGGAGGGGAATTCCACTTTCTTGCACCATATACAAAATCAACTCAAATCAGATTAAAGATCTAAATGTAAGACCTGAAACCTTAGTTAGAACTCCTAAAAAAGAACCACAGGCAGTAAACTTTTGGATATCAGCCTTAGCAGTATTTTTTTGGATCTGTCTCCTTAAGCAAAGGAAACAAAGTAAAAATAAACTATTGGGACTAAACTAAAAAGCTTCTGCACAGCAAAGGAAACCATCAAAAGAACAAAAAGGCAATTTACTGAATGAGAGAAGATATTTACAAATAATATATCTGGTAAAGGTTAATATCCAAAATATATAAGGAACTCACACAAATCAACACCAAAAACCCAAATAACCTGATTAAAAAATGGACAGAAGGCCTAAATAGACATTTTTCCAAAGACAAAGACATATGAAAAGATGCTCAAATCACTAATCATCAGGGAAATGCAAATCAAAACCACAATGAGATATCAACCTCACACCAGTCAGAATACCTAGTACCAAAAAGACAAGAAGGGCACCTGGGTGGCTCAGTTAA